TCCATACTGCTACAAGGAGAGTCGTCATTGCTACTTTGATCATCTTCCGGTAGATCACTGGACTTATCCATAGTACGCGATGAACACGGTTGAGCAAAACACTGTTGTGTTTCTACTTGACTAGATTCAATTTCCATAGGAACATGTGATTTGGATTCGACCGACGATGAACTCTCATCGATCGTTTGCTTCAAAGGCATTGTTTCATTGGATGGCATTTCTTCTTTCGTTTCTACAGAGTAACTTGTCCCAGGATTACTTTGCGTACCGCTAGTACTTGGACTTTCTAATCTATCTGGTTGTTGCTCTGAAACAGCTACGAGTTATCCATTTATCATTCTGATAATCTGATAGGAATCAAACAACTTCAAATAAGATATAATTATATAAATACCTATTTCTTGATTAGCCTGAGTCGGAGCTCTTTCAACCCTTTCGGTTTCGTTGTCTCGTCTCTCTTCGTTTGATTCCGTAACGCTTTCGTTGCTATTTTGAGTGTTATCTTGATGATCGATCACGCCTTCTAAGCTATCTTCGCCGCCGCCGCATAAAGCGGCTCTAGTGGCTGGGTCATTTAACATTCTACTGAGAACATCAGTCATTCTCTGCATTAACGAAGTTTGAAGAACAGGTCTGGCTTGAGCAATTTCTAAAATACGCAAAAGTAAATGTATACATTGTTGTTTCAGCAAGTTAAAAATAACAGACATTTAATATTCAAGTACCTGTACCGCTACGTCGACCACCCTCGCATTCAGGTCGAGCATCGGGACCGGTATCAGACCAGTCTCCTCTAAGTCTTAGTCTACGTACTGGCAATGGCGAACGTAATCTTTGCTTCTTACCCTCTCCTTTTCTAACTGCGACATCTTTCTTTAACTGTATACTAGCTTGGTCCTAAATAAACCGATCGATTTTGTAGCTGAATATAGTACGCGTATTTCCTTGAAAGGGAAATGTCTTTTATACCTTCACATTGAACAGGTAAAGATGATCGCTGCTATAACTAACAAGAACATCCTGCCCATCTGGACTATAATTCAATGATGTTATTCTGTAAGAATTCCCTTCAAATTCCGGGACAGTGAAAGTACATAAGGCCTTTACTACTCCAGGCGTATCTGTCCAGCCTGCAAAATTATTTGACAAATCTTTTAACTGCTCTTATATTTGGTTTCTTTTATTACGTTAAGTACTCCAGTTACCAGTAGCTGGTGTTCCAAGCGTTCTTCTGTCAAATATTCTAACTGTACTGTCAGAACAACCTATCGCTATTTGATGGGGTGAAGCAAGATTTACAGACAAAGCAGTTATAGCTCTTTCACAAGAAACTAACACATCCTCCATGCACCTTGAAGTATTACACTTGTCCTTTATTCTAAGATCAAACCATCTCACAGTTCCATCTTCCCCACAGCTTAAAAAATTATGCGGCTCACCGGGTATTGTCGCTATTTCATATGTAGTACCGACATGACAATTAAATTGATTATGAAATGTTTTTGTTCTTCTTATTAAATCTGTAACCATGAAAATTTTCCTGTTAGTTCACGCAGCCTGTCGTAGCGTTTAGTCAAAGGTCATTGAATCTTCACCTGTATACAAAATAATGCCATCACCACTACAAGAAACTATCCGATGATCACCACTATTAGGCAAAAACTTTGCACTAAATATATTTGCTCTATGACTGGTCTTATAGTCTGTTAATACCTGTAACAAAAATGTGAATTGAATTCATTGTTAATGTTTCTGTCTATGCTTATATATTCATGACATTAAATATATGTAGAACTTCTTATCCTATTTAATTAGCAAGATAGTTCTAGATTGATGGTTCTAAATGATAAAATTAGCATACATGCATTACACGCAAGGGTTTTTGTTCATTTGGCAAAGCTTCTGTATTTCTATCTATGTCAATGTTAGACCTTGACTAGAATTAAACCATCTATGATATTTCCTTGAAAAAGGATTATTGCCAATGAAACTTCCTTGAATGTACTTTCTTCTAGTGAACTTCGTTACCACTTAATCTTTTATAATAATTTTTTTGTAAATAAAAAATTACGGACATTTGTCCAAAAATATTAATGTGATATATGAGACATAATTTTATACTATAATGTGTTATAGGTACATTCACAATGTATTTATAGCATTGTGATAATGTAATAATACTATCATATCAAACTTAATATTATATTATGAAAAGATAAAGAAAATACAATAAACACGTAATGATAAATATATTTCTTATTAATAACTAAAAATATGAATACAAGCTCAGTTTGTTAACAAAGAAACACACGTGTAAGTCTCTTAAATTGCTTTGTCAAGGGTGAAAATATAAATAACCTTGGCACGGAATTTTACAAGACACACAAATATAGGTAAAATTAATATATATATATATATATACACATTATAAAATAAAAAAAATTTTAATACAACAAATGTACTAATTTATTTACATCTTGGATTTTTTAATATAAAAATTATTTCCATTCAGCAAAAAAAAGTAGTTGTTTTATTATATTAAATTCGTAAATATGACCTATATTCTATGTAACTGCAACAGCACTATTCTTTCTTATATATATTTCTAATTCAACTAATATATGAAAATACAAGTTAATAACAATGCACACTTACTTCATAATTATAAGCATTCGTAAGGACAAGATGCTGGTCATCACTACCAGACAATATCAATTCTCCAGTAGCATTCCAACAAACAGAGTTTACACAACCATTGTGAACTTTTAATCTCTTCAACAATGCCATACGTTGCATCATTTGAAGACTTGCTAAAATATACATACACAAAGAAACATTTAACTTAAATATTAAGGTATTTGAAAAATATGATAATCACCACGTTTGTATTTAATAACAATGCAAGCGTCTTTATGTAAAGAAAACAGATCTAAAAAAATCTGTTACTCAGTTTATTTAAATGAAACACAAAGTTATCTAATTTTTAACAAGTTTTAATAATTCTTTTTCAGCGTTAAAATAGAGAAAAAACATCTTGATCTTACACCATATTACACTGTATAATAAGGTTACCAAATTTTTACTTGAAAACAGAATACCAAATACCTTTGCTGCTGGAATAAAGCTTCATCCTGGTGTAATCATTGTAGGGCTGATAATAAATGTCACGAAATATATTTGAACGTGTCTTCTTCATGGTTAATCCTTAACTATTACGGCCAAAATTAAACGTCAATTTGCGGAGCACATCGATCCCGGATTAATGTCAAATTTCTGATAACCGTGGTAACTCGTGAACGAAGTCTGTCAATCAATGAAGAAAACGTTTTTTCATATCGAATAGATCAGAGAACGAACAACGTGCTCTTACGCAGCAAAAATCCACGAGGATTGTACCAAAACGACATGGCACTGCTACTAAAAATAAACTCCAAAGCTTCAAAAATTTGTGCAATCGGATGAGCCACGATCGCTTCTGACCAGAACAGCTGAGCGAACGTACACACACAATGCTAAGAAGAAAGTGCGCGAGAGCTCGATCATTTCATAGGAGTATAATCGATGTCGACAGTGATGTGACATACATTCAAAGAACCCTTCATTTTATGATATGTAAAATAGACTGTAAAATTGAAGAAATATATTTTTATTTTTTAAAGAATATATCTTTTTATAGATGAATAATAATATCTTTTCTTAATTAAATTTTATATTTAAAAGTTTCACTTATACTTTCACCTTTAAACACACTTTTAGTCAAACATGTTGATTATGTACATTGTTACGTATCTATATACCTGATATGCTACGAATATGGTTACAAATTTATTCCAGTATTCGGAGCGAATTTTAAATGTTATACAATTTTAACTAATATTATTTTAATTTAGCTAAAGAAATTTATTTGAAATACAAATATAAAATTTGTTAATACCAGACTTGTTTTGTCTGAAAAGTCATGCATCTACATATATAGACTAAAAATTTATAAGAACTGATTAAAGTGGTTCTCATTAAGATCTTATCAAAATTTTCATATTCTCCAAAATATTTTGCACAATAACTTCGGCAATTAAAAGAGCTATCGATATTTATCGAAGTCTCCTATTGAGAAGTTTACATTTTTTTTCCTAAATGTTTACAATTTTTTCATAAATCGTCGATGCAATGTCTAAAAAGTCAACCAAAAAATGTGCAAGCCTCTAGCGGCGAACAGTTGAATTATACGCACATATCTGCTCCTGTGTTCTTGGTGGGAGAAATGTTCGTATACACGATAAAAAGGAAAATGTGCATTTGTACTAGCAACTAGTGAAGACAAATCACAAGAAAAGAATGCGAATTAGATCTAAAAAAATTCCGAGAAATAAAGTCAGATTCCAAAAAATACCTAAATAGTACAACCTCCTGCAAGATTATATTCTTCTGATATAAAATCGAGATTTTGACAAAAATTTTTTACTCCCAAAATATCTTAAAAAATGATATTATTTCTAGGAATTTTAGGTTCCGAATACCTCTTATGCTATTTTATTCTTTTAATACTTACTAATATTTACAAATACTTTACAATACTCGAACTTACTCATCATTTTTTATATTATAACTTATCCCTTAAATTTATGAATATTGGAAATGATTTGAGAATTGTGGATGTTTGAAAGATTCTAAATGATTAAACGCTTTGTTCATTTGCAAAATAAGATTGTTTTATGCAATTCAATTCGCAAGTTTAGAATAATTGTGCAATCTTATAATTTCATAATTTTCTGCATAATAATTTGTATAATTGTGAAATTACAGTAATTTGTTTCCATTGTTCGACTAATGGAGTTAAAACTATTTTATATGAAAATTGCGATCAAAATGCCGCTCGTTTTCGAATCACCTGTTTTTCGTACAGCCCGATACAAACACACATTTCCCCTTTTACTGTATATACACACCTTTCTCCCACCAAAAACACCAGAAAAAAGATGTGCGTATAGTTCGACTGTTTGACCATTAGAGGCGGTAATTCGTGGAGCGTATATTTGGCTGAATGTCACCAATGCTTATCGGCGATTTTCTTATTCCCTATTCATCTCTAGTGTGCCAAGTGATTTCATCATTATCGTGATTCATTTGTGTCCGATTCCATTATTATCATATTTGATATATTTCTACAATCAGCGGAGGGAATAAATGTGCCCTTCAAGAAGTACTAGCCGGGCCGCGCGAAGGCTACATAAGGTTATGAATATTTAGCATTTCGAAAAGACAAGATCAGTGTGATACTGAAAACATCAAAAGTGATTTGGCACTATTCGCCGCAAAAATGACAGTTATGGATTTTTTTGGTTGTGCCTTTTTGGCTTTCGGTCCACCGTTGGCTATGTTTACATTTACTGTCGCAGCTGAACCTATTAGAATCATCATACTAATAGCCAGTGCCTTCTTTTGGTTAATTTCTTTATTGTTGTCATCGGTGCTTTGGTATGCTGTGGTGCCACTACAAAATCACCTTGCATTTGGACTTGTATTTTCTGTACTATTCCAAGAAGCATTCAGGTGAAATATCAAATTTACTTTCTCTTTAAAACACAATATTTTTTATATTCTACTTTCACTTGAATTACTTGAAAGTTGATTTTTTTGTTATTTTTGTACAGGTATCTCTTATACTGGGTACTAAGGAAAGCCGAAAGAGGGCTAGATAAAGTAACAACAACACATGTAGCAGATAGCAGACACGTGTTTGCATATGTATGTGGTTTAGGTTTTGGTTTTATGAGTGGTGTTTTTGCACTAGTCAATGTCCTGGCAGATGCTGTTGGACCTGGAACAATGGGACTTCGACAAGGCACAGAGTACTTTTTTATAATATCAGCAGCCACAACTCTTTGCTTTATCTTATTACATACATTTTGGGGCGTTGTATTTTTCTCTGCTCTTGACAGAAAAAATTGGGGTCAAGTTATTTGGGTTGTTGGCTCACATTTGTTTGTGTCATGTATGACCCTCTTAAATGTATATCAAGCTTACGTAGCTACCACTTTATCCGCTTATGTTGTTTTGATTATAACAACTGCACTTGCGTTCAAAGTTGCTGGTGGCAGACCCCAAAGTATAGTTCAGTGTTTTTCAAGACAGTAAAAGAGAAAACTTTTATAAGAAAGTTAAAATACAAGTAGTTGTGTTTGACCCGAATGAACATCACAGAATGATGAAATTTTTTTTCCTTAGCCATTTGATTGCAAGGAGATTATTCATTGCTCTGATATACACTGTGTGTAAAAGGATATGATGTTAAATTAACAAACCATATCTTTGGTATTATTAAACAAGCCTATAACGATTAGGAATATATTCGTACAGATCCAATACATGTTAGACCTTACTTTACACTTGACCAAAATGGACATCTGTTAAGTGTACCAGTATTATTTATCTTTCAAATGTAATATTTTTTCGCAAAAAACTTAAATAGTAATACGTTCTAGCACAGAATTCCTTGGTCAAACTGCTAGTCCGTCCCTTAACCCATCGAAACAATTGTATAACCATGACGCGACGATGTTTCGATCTAAAATCGAATTATATTGAAATGTACGATATTTTGTTTGTATTGCAAAAAAAAGCAAAGTCTAAGATAAGTATGGATGTATATATGTAAGAATGTATGCATATATAATGTATGTACATGTTCTATCAAACGGAAAGAGTAAATTTATGCATCAATCCCTGCCTTATATCAAAAAATAAAACTATTCAAAACAGGTTATACAAATGATGATAATACGTAAGGAATTGTTCAGTAGTTTTTGTATGTATATAAGATCCATTAATAATTGTAATTTAGGTGTTTAATATACATCTGTATATTTGGCATTGTGTTTCACTTACCATTTCATGGTTTATTACTCGATTCATATTACATTTCATATGTCATTCAAATAAAAACCATTTTTGTACAACTAAAGGTACATTTAATTATAATCCTTGTTCTCAATAACAAATACCACAGGATGAAATATCTCAGTTCGTTTAGGAGAAGAAAGGGAAAACAACGAATTCGATTTTAAAAAGCATGAATGTTTTAATCGATTTTTTTATTGAAAAAAGAGAAATTTGGAAAATAGAGCGAATCACAGTCGCAAGATATCACTCGAATAAATTCATCTATAATTCAATTATACAATAAAAAAGTGTAGAGAGTATATCAAACGAAAAATAAAATCTGTATGCGTGATCACGTTTTTTCACCCTGTGGAACAATTAAATTCCTAATCAGTCATTGATAGCATCTAGGAGCTTGTTAAGGAAGCCATAAGTAATTCCATTTTATTTAAAAAATTTTTCCCTTCCATTTTATCCCACCGAACTTCTTTAAAAGAACCACCTAAATTTTCCCACTTTCTTTCTCTCACTAATTGTCCAGGAAAGAAATCTTTCCGAGGAGAATGAGCTATCGCAACTTGTACTCCCGTTTGCGGTTCACACCTAACAGCTATCATCCTAAAATCCCAATAATTATTTTAGATGTAACACATACATATATACATAGCCTTCTACTAAAACAAAATTAATAAATACCTATCGCCTATTGGTGAAGCTAAAATACAACTGCTAGCGTTTCCTAGAGGTTCAACTGCCCCTAAGCCAAGGTGTGAACTGTTGGCTAAAAACTGCCATCCCATACATTTTGCCAATGCTTGTACTGCTGTTATTTGATGCTGATAGATCTGTAATAATATATTAAGTAATTACATACATATTCGATAAAGATTAAGAGAAAAGAAAAAATGTGATTGTACCTGACAAAATATTAGGTCCCGTAATTCTTGAGGTTCATAACTCATATGCATTACTCTACCATCTCGGCAAACGCATTTCAAGGACTTCTCTCCTATATGAACAACAAGCGACGTTCGACATACTGTGTCGTATCCATGTGTTAAAATATTAATTTTTACACAAGATTGGGTAGGAGAATTTAACGCATTCCAATGAGAAACAATCAAAGGATCTTTTACTTCCTTTGCTATTGTATCTAAGACATACTCGGTACGTAATCGCATGAAATAATGTTGAGCTTGTTGAATAATTTGTTCTAAAAGAGTTTGACTCTTTGTCATTTCTAAAAGCTCATATCTGTCCGCGGCTGTTGGACCAGCTAAACATCTCCTTTTACTGGGCCCGAGAGGTCCGGAAGAAGGATGTGGAAATGGATGATGTGTATTTTTGTGATGAACTTCACGTAATAGCTGATGCAAAGAGTGTTCTAACACGTGGTCGTGATCGGTTTTATGAGGAGGAGGAGCGGCTGGTTTTTTGTCATTTCCCGTACTATGACAAAGTCCTATGATTAACTGAATCCCAGGCAACACCTAAAATTTTTTAATTTTGTATAGTATATCGTAAATAAATATGTATCATACATATCAATTAAGAACAAAAAAATATTTACTGTTGCCATTATTTGATTGCCGACAACCATGTGAGGTATAGGCGCACGTAAATGTACCGCTTCTCTCGCTAATTGACTGAACAATTCTTTGCAAAAAAGAACATTTTGTGCAGCTTCTAGTTTTTGCTGCCAGTGCATGTCTGCATTGGAGCTATGTGCACTGTTATTAAGTAAACTAATATTTGCACTACATAAATCTTCTTGGTCTATAAACAAAATTAATAATTCGATATTGATGTTATATGTTGTACATAAACACACTAATAAATGTATATTATACATACATACACTTACCTTTTTGACATAATACCTCTATGTAAGCAACACCCTGTAATTCACTAGGAATAGTAACTCTCAGAGCAGAAGCTTTAGAATTTGGAGGATGGGTTTGACCTGGTACGTTATTGCCAGGACTTGGAGATGCAGGAGGACTTGTACTATTCTTCTCTTCCTCTTCTGCCTTAGTAACTTCAAACATTCCAGTCTGGGGGAATTTAGATCCAGCTAAAAAATTCATATTACTAAATGAGATACAATTAATTCTTAAATTAGACATTTAAATATATAAAAGATAACTATGAACCTGTTCTATAACTAAGATCACCAATGATCGAATTAGAAACTTTTTTCAAACGCCAATTTTGTCTCAATCTCAGTAATTCAATATGGAAATCTGGGGTTGATCTATTTCTGGCTAGTTCATTCTGACAGTTTTTTAACCTGTCAGCGCCCATCATAATGACAGACGCAGCTCCAGCCAATGCTTTTTTTCTAGCATATAATTGTAGCATAGGCTTTACTTCTGGTATATCTTGAGGCACAGGATCAAGAACCATATAATGCTTCTCTTTTGCTATTGCAAGAACATCAGCTAACACACATACTTCTGTCAATGCATTTCTGCAAATAAAATTATCATAGTCTATTATATCGATAGAGTCATGTTCAAAAAATATTCAATAATGTATTGCCTTAGTTTATTTCTAACGCTATCCCATGGCCATAAAGATGATTGAAAGGAAGCCGAATCTTTTGTATCTTCTTCACCCTTTTCCCCACCCTCAGTTTCCTTTTTAACATCTTCACCATTGGTTTTGCTAAAGTCGATTTTTTGCGCGATTTTTGCCAAGTTTTCAGACAATGTAAGGGGTCTAAAAAAATGATAGATTATTATAATTAATTACTTTATAATACATTATGTTACAAAATATAAATAAAATGTTATTTTAATTCTGAGGTTAGGTGAACATATAATAAGTTCATTTACTACTATTTCTATGGATAACAAACTTTTTGTTTAATTTTAGTAAGTGTTAGAAAGACAAACTACGTACGCTTGGTAAATTTCTTGGCCATCGTATGTGATTTCTTGAATTTGATTTTCGATCGGTGCTTCTACAGAGATATTTACTGAATACGACATTATTGTTTTCTTAAAGTACAATTGCTACTATGAAGAATGAATGACTGCATATTACAGGTGAAAAGTTCTCTATCCCACAGCTAAATTCCCTAGTGAAGTCAAAATTAAATTTTTAACTAGAGCAGATTATTTAATATTTAAATACCATTATAATTATCATCAATAAATGTACATACAAATATTATTACCTAAGAAGAGCTTAATTAGAATAACAAATAAAATAATAATTTTTCTATAGATAAATAAATAGATTCAATAATATTTAAGAACGCAGCGTAATACTTCAATGATTTTTAGAAAACGTAAGTTTTGCCGGGATTTTGATCCTTCCACCTGCAAGAACAGTAAATATTCAGATGTGAAAGAGGAATTATTAGAAATTTTTAATACGATTATAATTGTTATATCATTATGTCTAAAGTGAATACATTGTACAATTATTTTATTTCGCCTAAAACTCCTAAAACTCCTAAACAATCGAATAATAAGCCCGATGAAAAACCTAGCACGCCGAAAAGATCAAGAGAACAATGGAACAAAGGTATATAACGCAAATAGCTCACATCTAAATAATTAATTTATTATAGCAATACAGTAGAATGAAAGCAATAGAACATGAAAACCATATTTTATGTAATTTTGAGCCGCATGTGTTGTTGCATTGTAACATTAAACATAAAAATAAAATAGGACATTTCATAGAAAAAATTCATAATATTTGCGAAAAATCTATTCCATGTAATAGTTTATAAAAGTTTCTCACCGTAGTTGATATAATAAATGTAATGTGTATGCTAAATTATCGAATAAATATTACATAAGTGATGTAACATATTATTTGTGATATATATAGCAAGGATTCCAAGCAAAGGAAAAGAAAATATAGATGTCAAAGATAAAAAAAATGTCTCTAAAGATGATGATGACGAAGAAGAGGAAACGGAAGAAAATGAACCAATACAGCCAAAAAAGCGAAGATTGATTATCCCTGATGAAGAGTCTGGAGAAGATTCTGGTGATGAATTTAAGCCTGGTTTGTGTTTTTTGTTGCAATTGTGTCATAATCTCTTATTTGTTTTAGAAGAAAAAATATATTTGATTTCATTTTCATATAGATCCAGAAGATGAATCAGAAGATTCTGATTCAGTATCTGAAGGAGTTAGTAAAAGTGAGCCACCAACAGCAAGTGAAGAGGAATCTCCAGAGGTAAAAGAGTAATTACAAGTAAAAAGATTTGCATACTAATCGATTAATGTAAATTAAATTTTAGAAGAAAATAAAATTGGCTAAAGCTCCTAGAAGAAAACCGGAAATAAGTACAATGAAAAATACCAAAGATGTAAGGTCATAGCTATAAATTCTTCTTTTTATTAAATACATATGTATATTATTCAAATCAATTAAAATTCACTTAGGCTAAAAAAGAATCAAAACCACAGCAACAAAATCAAACCAAAGGTTCAGACAGTGTTACAGAATCTTGGCCACATTTAAAGTATGATTTTCTTCAACCAAATAAAATACGAGATATTCGTAGAAAACCACCAAGTGATCCAGATTATGATCCTAAAACTCTTTATGTTCCTCCGGATTTCTTGAATCAACAAACTCCAGTAAGATAGAAATTTAAATTTTCTTAATACAAGTATTATTTGATGCACCTTACATTATATGAATTTATTCAGGCCATGAGACAATGGTGGGAATTAAAAAGCAAACATTTCGATTGCGTTCTTTTCTTTAAAG